GTATAATCACTCTACTCACTCATTTGCATTCTTGCAAACTAGTTGATACAAGTTCTTTAGTGTAATTAGAATTGAGAGCTTGCTTTATTATTTACATTCATCTAGTTGAGCTCTTTAGAGTAGCAAGGTTGAGAGCTCTTAGTGAGTAATTACATAGCTAGTTTGTGTGCCTAAGTATTCATTGCAACTAGAATTGTTGGATAGGTGGCTTGCAACCCTTGTAGAGCTAGAGCAAGTTTGCATTATGCTATTTGTCATACTAATCAAATTGCTCTAGTTGATTTGTAGATTTTTAAATAGGCTATTCACCCCCCCCCCTCTAGCCATATTAGGACCTTTCAGCGGCGGTCTCAAGAAGGTCTCGGAGTCTGCCGTGGACCCGTCGCCCCTCCGAGGTAGATGGCTCGGGCATTGTTCGGAGTAGCGTCGCCGCTGCCGCGATGTTCTGGCTAGCGCGATTGAAGATAGGGGGTTGCTCGCCCCCTTCGTCGTTGTTGATGCGGTGGTTGACGTCGCGAGCCCTCTGCCATCACCGCGACCCCACTGCTCTCGCTCGAGAGTGTCTCGGAGCTACTACAGAAGGAGTCGGTCTTGTTCGACCTTGGCCTAGAGCTCACAGAGCTGCTCCAGGTGTGGGCGTCGAAGTTCCTCGGGGGCGGGGACATCGTCCCGCGCTGGCGGGGGTTCGGCGCGTGGCGGTGTGGCATTGCCTGCCCCCACGTGGGACGGGGAGCGATTGCCTACCCCTTCGTCCTCGTTGCCCGCGTTCGGCATCCCGAGTTCGACATTGAAGCACTCACGAGTCGGGCCGTAAGCATCTTCGTCATCGGAGTCAGGGTAGCTGAAGTAGTAGTCGCTCGCGACCATGAAGCGGCGCATAGCTTCAGGGTCACGAAGCCCGGAGAAGTCCGCTCCAGCCCACGCCTCGTCCTCCTCCGAGGAGTTAGCGTGGGCGTGGGTCGGAGTTGTGGCAATGAGGTCGAGGGCAGAACATTGATGGCATCCTGGGGGTTCTGTGTGAGCTGAAGCGTAGGCGGCGGCATTGCTCAACCCGAAAGGGTACAGGGATGATGTTGTCGCCAGGCTCCGCTTCACCGGAGTCGGCTCCCCAGGAGGTGGCGGGGCAGAGCTTGATGACGGGGTGTCGCTGCGCGCCACCAGTGTCTTTCCCTTGCCCAGGCTAAAGCTATACAGGTCCCCAGCCAGGGACTCTACATCAACAGCCGGGTGTGGGAACCTAGCGGAGCGCGGAGCGTCGCCCTGAACTTGCGTGGTGTTGGGGGTGGTTCCGCTCGCATCGTGCCTGGCGAGCGCGACGAGAGCGGTGGCCCGGGCGCCACCTGCGCCTAGGCTGCTGGTGCGTGATATCATCGTCAGTCGACGGGGCTCTGGGTGGGAGGAGTACCATGTCGTACTCGTATCCTAGAGACATGAACTCTAGGCTCCCGAACCAGATCACCGTGCTGAGACGCCGTGGTCGCACGGGGTCCGCCATCCTGAACTTGTTGGGATGACTAAGCTGACACGCAGTATGGCCCCTACCTGGCGCGCCAACTGTCGGTATTTTGGACCGGTGGGTCCTCAACCAACGAGTGAAAATGTACTGTGCGTCCCTAATCCCAGATGGTGATGCAAAGAGACACAAGGTTTATACTGGTTCAGGCAATAGGTGCCCTACGTCCAGTCTGAGAGAGCGATCTTGTATTCCTTGCACCGAGGTGCTCGTAGTAGGGGTTTACAAGCTGAGCGAGAGAGGGAGCCGGTCCCAGGTCTCTGTGAGGAGTAGTGCGGGTTGCTTGAGATGTTGATCTCTTGCAGTGAAGGAGTGTGTGCGTTATAGGGTGTTGTTGTCCGCCGCTTGCATGGGTGTGTGATCATGCCTAGGAGCGGCCCTGATCACTCCCTTTTATAGTCGAAGGGAGGCACAGGGGTGGTACATGTATTTGCTACGTGGCGTTCCTTTTTGGCAGAGGCGGCATGTCCGAGCCCTGCAGCTTGTCACTGTGGCGATATGGTCGGTGGAGCGGTCTTGTCTTCGGTGCACTGGAGCGACGCGCCGGTCATGCCCGATCCTATGCGACGTGGGAGCTCCTGTGGTGGCCCGGCAGGCGCGCCTTCTTCTGTTGGAGACGTGCTGGTCACTGTAGGTTTGACCGGCGCGGAGACCCGAGGCCGGGTTGATGCGACGGCGCGGGTACGCTGATTCCGAGGCTACAGGAGCTAGGCCCTGTGTACGACGTGGGAGCTCCTACAGCCTGACGCAGGGCGTGGCGCGTACTGCGGGCGACATGCCGGTCCCAGCGCGTCGTCGACGTAGAGAGCCGAGGCCCAATCGGTGCAGAGGCTGAACCATTGTGGGGGACTCGGCGGGCGCAAGCCCCGAGGTTATAGGAACCCGGGAGTGGCTAGCCGAGGCTCGGAGAGAGCAGTTGGCCTTGTACGTTGATTCCGAGGCTATAGGGACCTGGACATGACTTTCCACACCGCGCTATCCTTGGAGCAAGGGTTAGGTAGCACAGCGTAGCACGGGCGTCAGCCATGGGCACAGTGCCGAGCACAGCGGCCGGTAACCCCCGCCCCATGCTGTCCTGGATAGCAGGGCGTTGATGTGACTTCCATCTCGTCGGCCACTCCGTTGTACCATGCCATCGTGCGGCTGACGTTGTGGGAGTGGTTGAACGCTTTAGTTGGATGTGACGACCCGTTAGAGAAGTCGGTCAAAGCGGCGGTGATGGGGCTGATGCCGAGCCGGCCTCGAGCGAGTCGGTAACTGGGTGCTCGTCCGTGGCCTCGTAGCACGGGGCCTCGGGCGAGTCGGAGAATCGGTGGCTCGTCCGAGGCCTCGTGGCGCGGGGCCTCGGGTGAGTCGGAGAATCGGTACCTCGTCCGAGGCCTCGTCGTATGGTTCTGGGCCGAGCCTGCTTCGATCGTGCCTGGATGTTGTTCGAGGTGGGCCGGGTGATCCAGCGGGGCCTCGGATGAAATGGAGTTTTTCCGCGGTTGTATTTTGGCTTCGATATTTACAGGTCCTAAGCATTTTTTCGGTCTTTGCTTAGGGTACCCCTTTTATGGTGCCCGACAACTCCGCACACATGCATGCATAATGCAATCATGCAAGCCAAGGTCTTCCCACAAAGCCAAGAGTCAGATGAGAGCATCCTTGGCAGCTCTCCTCATACCCATGTTCTACACGGGTGGTACACTAATCGTCTCATCTCGGCAATGGCGTTGCGTCTAGTGATGGTGTGGGCATAGGCGGTGTTAGGTGCTTGTCAGAGAAGGCGGAGCTACGGAGGACAAGAACTGTAGCGCGTTCGACAATGGATGGTGAACTTGGCAATAATACAAGTGGCCGATGGGCCGATGAATGGGATCATTGTGCTGTTAGCACTTAGGCTTAGCCGGCTTGCGTGCCATGGTCCTGAATGGGCTTCGACCTTGTATTACGAGTGCATAAAATGTTGATCCATTGTGAACGCGAGGCATCGATCAATTGAGAGTTTGAACCCGAACCTAAACTTTTGTTCTCTGTTCTTGTAGAATCATGTCTTGAATCTACGTTGTAGTTTACATTACCATAGTAGCTATAGCAGTGGAACCATACATGGCTATAATTTCTTTTTCCCCCTCTTTCATCTTAAGATATCATAGAGGTAAATAGTCACAGAAGTAGATGTAACTTGACAGGTCGTTTTGTTGAGGGTAATTGAAAAAAAGGGAATGAGAGTTTGGAGGCAGGAGTTTTTAGTAATCTTTTTGTATGTTTTGTGGGAGTTAGAATTTTGGTGGGAAGAGGAATGTGAGTTTAGAGAGTCAACTCCCACTAATCAATTCCTTGGGAGGGGTGGTAATTGGGTGGGAGTTGCGCTTTTAAAGAAAGATAAATACATCCTCACCATTCATTATGACTTGTCCTATAATTCTCCACTCAAAAACATCAACACCAAACAAGGGATATAAATTCTCTTTTCAACTCCCCTTCTTATTTCCCCACACGAACCAAACAAGAGATTGAGACTAAAAGTCAAATTCCCACCTCAAATCCCTCATAAACTCCCACCACCAATTCACATACCCCTTCCCATCACTTGCCAAACAAGTTGTGAAAGGAAGACACAAAGAAAATGGCATCAGAAGATAGAAATGAGGAGAGTGAAGATCATAATTCACAAACACAAACATTCTAGATAAGCTATATAACATGCCGTATGTTGTTGAGACTTTTATAGCTCGAGTTATATGACATCATAGCCATGTACATAGTATGTACATAGTTTGGTTGTAACTCGATCTAACCCATCAAACCAAACCATAGCAAAGCATCTGAAATGCTAGATCGAGTTAGTTAGCAAGAAAGCCAACTTCTGAACCAAAAGACCAAAAAATTACAACTCAAACAAATTTAGTGACGAAGATATAGTGCAAATTTCTGTAACTTTATTAGAAATGAGAGGAGTTTAATTTAAGATAAACACGCATTTAACATTTCCAAAACCTCGAGAAAACAGTATATACATAAATTAGAGAAAGAATATTTCTAAAAAAAAGAAGAGAAAGAATGTATAGGAGGGAAAGCAAGAAGAAGAGCACGGCCACGAGCTCGTTCACTCCCTCAAAGAAAACTTGGAGGAAAGACAGCAGGCAATTTCCATTTCCACTTTTTATAGTAATGAATAATTTTATTTTATTTTCCCCGTCAGTCTCTCTCCTCGGCTCCTCTCGCTGGTGTCGCGTCGCCTGCTCCCTCCCTCTCTCCCGCATCGAGACGCCGCTTCCTGTCCCCCTCTCTCTCTCCTCCCAGCCGCATCCAAACCCTAACCCTAAACCCCTCCCCCACCAACCTCCGCCCAGTCCCCCAACCCCCACTGACCTGGCTCCCCACCCCCGACTCGCCACGCTGGCCCGATTCGATCGATGTAGGTGAGCGAGCGAGCTCCCCGACCTCATGATGGCTCTGCCTGCGGGGTGAAGAGAAGAGAAGAGAGGCACAGCAAGCGTCGATGGCATTGGGAGATCTCATGGCGTCCAGGCTCGTCCACTCCTCGTCCTCGCCGTCGCCGTCGCCGTCGCCGTCGCGGTCGCGGTCGACGGCCGCGGCACCGGCGCCGCCGCTGCCCAATCACCATCACCACCACCAGAACCACAACCATGCTGGGGATGGCCTCCTGGCCGCCAACGGGCCGGAGCCCAGGAACGGGCTGGAGGCTGCGGCCGAGGTGGAGAAGCCGGCGCCCGTGGCGTACCTGCCGCAGGTGGTCGTGCTGTGCGAGCAGCGCCACGAGCCCGACGGAATCGACGAGGCTGCGGCGGCCGCCACAGCGCCCTCCACCAGCGGCCTCGTCTCCAGGTGGCGCCCCAAGGACCGGGTAATGGATGCGATGCAGTTTGCAGATGCCGTTTCTACTGCTTCTGTTGTTATACTCGGCAATTCGCTGGATTTGGTAACGCCTGGGCTTGGGGATCCTTAGGATAGCAACTAGCTGATCCAGCTTAAAAATGGTAGATTGGGCGCAGCTGCAGGTCGTGTGAAGTGATTACGGCACCTGCCAACTTAGCAATTTAGCATTTATTTAATCAATTTCCGTTACGGAGTACGAATGGACTGTGGTGCTGCCAGATGTAACTCTAGCGAGACCCTGGAAGTAGCGGAATAAGTAACCGCTATGCTCACTTACTCTTGTGAGTAGGACAATCATGAAATGGTGGAATGAGTTATCATCATTTGCCACAGCCTATAATCTTCTGCTTCTTAAGTGTTTCGAAAGGTTGTTGGGGCTGAGGGGCAGGGCTAAATTATAAATTACACGTCGTATTACTTTTTTACTGTGTGACACTGATCATTTCCTTGTTAATAATAATTGATACAAAACGGAACTATTGTGCCCAACGGTGTTGCTATGTTGCTATAGGCTGTAGCATCACTCATGCAAATTCTTAATTTCATTTACCACCTATATGTAGCATGGTGATCAGTCTTTCGACCTGTATGTCTTGGATAAAAAATAAACGGTATTATTCTGGGTAACCTAACAGGTCCTATAAATATTGTCATGATCATGGTGTCGTATGCATACCTACATATAGAACAAAAATCCAAGCTGGGCAGTCTTTGAAAAGTTTTTTTGTATCGAATAGGCACTTTCACATACCTACATATAATGAATGCTAATAACCCCCTCCAAGTTCCAATTGACACTTCCTATCAGTGACTTGTTGGCATCATATAATTAAAGGGAATACTTAGTCTCACTGGGTTGCTGTTGGTGAAGCTATAAGTTATAGGCAAAATTGCATCAATAACACTCTGAACCATTTTTTGCCCTTTTGCTAACACACTGCTCTCCGAAAGCATCGTACTGCTAAAGGAAATGCCTCAATTTTGCCAAAGTTCAAACATGGACAGAGTCTGGATCATGTAGTTTATTAGCCATTGGCCCAGTTAAAGTTAGCTGACCGCAATCTGTTGATGTCACTGGAGGCTTAAGAGCTTCCACTGTAACAAAGTTGGCATGAAAGCGCATTGTTGTTTCAGGGTCACCACATTGTGCATGTTGCAATGGCTTGAAGCACCAGATGAGAAATAGGGTGTTTCAGTTCATGGCAACAGACATATGTGATTGATAGATAGGAGGTTTTGACTATAAAGATGAGGTTTCTGTACATGGAGTGGAAATCAATTTAACATTATTAGCCTTGAAGTCCTTGGGCAAAGACAATTTCTACATATGTGCGTACAGATGTTCCATTTTCCTTAGATTCTTTTTGGAATTTTGCAGTAACTATGTACCATGTAAAATAAGCTGTCCTTTCACCTTTGAGACAAAGTCCTTTAGGTTTGCAGCTTATATTTACTTGTCCGAGGATCATGTTGAAAGTCAACAGCACTGCTGAGCTTATTTCTTCTATTTACTATTCTAATTCCCTGTCTGTTTTGCTTGGTGTATTGTTCTGCATCATTACTGATTTAGTCATTATGGAATTTGTAACTATTCTATCATTTCTTTTGTCTGGCCATGGGATGCTTTGTTAGTTCTTATAAGTTTTCTGCATCTTTTACATGATCTTTACTAACAATGGATTTTGTAGCGCAGATGAAGACGGGATGTGTTGCACTTGTATTATGTTTAAACATAAGTGTGGATCCACCTGATGTAATTAAAATTTCCCCTTGTGCAAGAATGGAGTGCTGGATAGGTAAATTTTTAGTTGATTATATATTTCCAAATTTCAAATTAGTTGGGAAAAAGATCCAGTAAATGAACTGTTTTTCACCGTTTGAATGAAACTGTGTCCTTTTTTTTTTAACCAATTGCATTTCTGAATGCCAGACGAGAGAATATTGTTAATTAGAAGTACACAACAATAACAAAGCCATTTAGCCCCAAGCTTGTTGGGATAGTGTAGATGAAACCCAACATGAGCACCAACAAGAAGGAAACAAAAGGGAAAAAGCTTATATAAATATATACAAGGAATCAACATTATTAATATTATTAAAGGATCTAAAGTCTTGTTCATGCTTCATGGTTCAGGCATGTAGATAGCTGATTTCAATGTTCTTCCACCAAAGCACAATCTTTGCGTACATTCAATCCTTTCAAATAATTGTTTCTTTTGGTATATTGTTAATTTGAAGTAAATAGCAAGAAGGAAACTATCTGGCACCTACTGTTCAATAGTTTTTAGATGAAAACTATCCCCTTTTAAATTTCAATCTGACAATTGGCATTTAATTGTAAAGGAATTAAAATTTTCTAGTGTAAGATACTGCATCTATTGGCCATAGTCATGAAGATATATACTTATTTATTAGCCTTTGTGATGATTATTTTGTCAAGAAGTTGTTACCAGATTTTAGACAACAATTGTAACTTACATTTGTTGATAGGTTTGCACTTCAATACTGTTATTGCACTCGGTGCAGTTTCCTTGAGGTATGTTCATAGATCTTAATTCCTTTCTTTTCAGATCCTTTTTCTATGGCACCTCCTAAAGCCCTTGATAGTATTGGGAAAACGTTGCATTCACAGTATGAGCGCTGGCAACCTAAGGTGAGGAACTTGCTTTCTTGTTTAACTTCAATCTTATTTTGGTGAGGATTATTTGCATCTTCATATCCTAGCACCACTTGCAGGCTCGATACAAGCTTCAGCTGGACCCAACAGTGGAGAAAGTTAAGAATCTTTGCAATACTTGCCGCAAATATGCCAGATCAGAGAGAGTCCTTTTCCATTATAATGGCCATGGCGTACCAAAGCCTACATCTAATGGTGAGATTTGGGTGTTTAACAAGGTAATATTATGAAGACACTGTATTACTTGCCGTGCGTGCCTTACTTATCATAGGCGTCTCTGATAAAATAAAATGGTTGTTTTTGCATTTTGTTGCAGAGTTACACACAGTATATTCCACTTCCAATTACTGATCTTGAGTCATGGCTAAAGACACCTTCCATTTATGTTTTTGATTGCTCAGCGGCTGGAATTATTGTGAAAGCTTTTCTAGAGGTATGCTACATGCTTCTAATTAACATATGTTTCTCTGTGCTTGAAGATGAAGGTTATCATGATTTATGGGCTTGTTTTATTTTCGTTCCTGGATTGTCTAATATTCATAGTGACTTTTGTTTACTTCAGCGCCTAGACTGGAGTTCTAGCTCCTCTGCATCTGCACAGAAGGACTGCATTCTTCTTGCTGCCTGTGAGGCACATCAAAGTCTTCCTCAGAGTGCAGAATTTCCTGCTGATTTGTTTACGGCTTGCCTCACAACACCCATCAAAATGGCTTTGCACTGGTTCTCTTTCTCTCTCTCTCTCTTCCTCTCTCTTCTCTGTTTGTGCATGGATATTTGTGTGGACAGTTCCTTATTTCTTATTCTCCTTTTCTTAGCATGTTGTGCTTACATGGGGACATACCTATAAACCTTGCAGGTTTTGTAAGCGATCATTACTCCGTGATTCTCTGGATCTTTCTCTTATTGACCAAATTCCTGGAAGGCAAAATGACCGTAAAACTCTTCTTGGGGAGCTCAATTGGATTTTTACTGCTATAACAGATACAATTGCATGGAATGTTCTTCCTCATGGTATGGTGTGTGCGATATGTAATTTTGGGGAACAAGAAAACTAGAGAAGATTATTCAAGTTCAAAATAAATGTCAGCTTATTTTGGGTTTATGATACAAGTTTCACTGTGCAGATCTGTTCCAAAGGCTTTTCAGACAAGATCTTCTTGTTGCTAGTCTCTTTCGTAACTTCTTGCTTGCTGAGAGAATCATGCGATCAGCAAGTTGTACTCCAGTTTCTTATCCATTGTTACCCCCAACACATCAACACCATATGTGGTAACTAGCCCGACTCGCCCTTCTGTTTTTGCACTAACTACCTTTTGTGTGTTTTGTAACATGCTAAATCCCAGGGATGCATGGGACATGGCTGCTGAGATTTGCCTTTCCAAGCTTCCTGAGTTAATTGCTGATCCAAATGCGGAGTTTCAGGTTCTACTCATCATTTAGCATTTCAAGAAATATCAGTAGTTTTTGCTGGTATTGTTTTGACATTTGAATACAAGCATTTCAGTATTGCTAATTTCATTCTCTCCAAACCAGCCAAGTCCGTTTTTTACGGAACAGCTGACGGCTTTCGAAGTGTGGCTTGATCATGGCTCCGAGGACAAGAAACCTCCTGAACAGTTACCCATAGTTCTTCAGGTAAGACATTTTGGTTTTACACTTATATATAGTTCTTCAGGTAAGACATGGGCCTGTTCGCTTGAACTTATCAGCTGGCTTATCCGCTAGAATCTACAGTATTTTTCTCTCACAACAAAACAGCTTCAGCCGGCTTATCAGCCGCTTTAATACCAGCCGAACAGGCCCTTGGTTTTACACTTACATTCAAGTCAATTATTTGTAAAGCCCAGTTTTAACTTTGTAACCTTATTGCCCTTCACTTTTCTGCTATATTTTTAATTTTGTAAAATGTTCTACATTCATATCTGCTACTCCCTCCAATTGCAAAAGACTACCGTTTTGGGTTGTGTTCAGCTAACCTATCAAAAAATTTGGATTGTTAATTACTCTGTGTACATTGAGATTGGACATTTGAAAATGTTATGGGTAGATTTGTCCCAAAACATATACTCATAATCATATAATTTTACTATTCTTATATACTGTAGTACAACATTACTTGGCAAATTTATGTTTTGTGGATCATGGCAACACCCAAATGACACTATTTTATGACTGGAGGGATCATATTTCTTTTCTTGTTTTATTTTCTTTCTTACATCTTATCTTTTTTGCAGGTCCTGCTTAGTCAATCACACAGATTTAGAGCGCTTGTTCTGCTCGGAAGATTTCTTGACATGGGGCCATGGGCTGTTGATTTGGTTTGTACTGACCTCTTATGCATGAAATGCTTGTTGTTTTTTCTCTTTAGTTTTTAACCTCTGGCACTTCATTGTCGTAGGCCCTGTCTGTCGGAATATTTCCTTATGTACTCAAACTGCTTCAAACAAGTGCAATGGAGTTGCGTCAAATTCTTGTGTTTATATGGACAAAAATTCTCTCTCTTGATAAGGTATGCGCTCTTCATTGTAATCTTTTGACAGTTTTTTGTTGTCTTATATTCAGTTGTTTAACATGTAGCTTTTTCCCAAATGACAGTCGTGCCAGGTTGACTTGGTTAAAGATGGAGGACATGCATATTTTGTTAGGTTTCTTGACAGTTTGGATGCTTACCCAGAACAGCGTGCAATGGCTGCTTTTGTTTTAGCAGTCATTGTGGATGGGCATAGGACGGGTCAAGAGGCTTGTATGAATGCAGGCCTTATAGATGTTTGCCTGCAACACCTGCAACCTGAGAATCCTCATGATTCACATACAGAACCTTTACTTTTACAGTGGCTTTGCTTATGCCTTGGAAAACTCTGGGAAGATTTCCCTGATGTTCAGCTACTTAGTTTGCAAACAAATACACCTGAAATTGTAATATGTTTATTGTCGGAGCCTCAACCTGAGGTATGATGCCTTCATATCATGTCTTCTCTTTCTTTTGCCTACTTGACAAGATACATATTAAACATTTGGTCTTGCCAGGTCAGAGCTGCTGCTGTTTTTGCACTTGGGACTCTCCTGGATACTACATCAAATGGCGCTGATGATGATTCTGATGATGATGAAAAGGTGAAAGCTGAAATAAATGTAGTTAGAAGCCTTCTGCAGATATCTTCAGATGCTAGTCCCCTTGTTCGATCTGAGGTTGCTATAGGTACGTGCATTGGAAAATTATACTGTTTTTCCTAGAGCACTTTTAGTATGTTGAACATAGGGGATTTCTTTTAATCTTATATGGCAATCATTTTGAGTTGACCTCTTGTTTTTCCAGCGCTTACTCGCTTTGCGTTGGGTCACAACAAACATCTCAAATCTGTTGCGGCTGAGTATTGGAAACCTCAATCCAATTCATTGCTGAAGTCACTACCATCATTGGCAAATATAAGTAATCCAAGCAATGTTTACAGTCCCAACAACATTCTACAAGGCAGCATTGGTCCTGTGCTGAGGGTTGGCAGTGATAGCAGTGCCGCCGGTCGTGATGGAAGAGTTTCTACAAGTAACCCAATTGCAACAAGTAGCATCATGCATGGCTCTCCCCAGTCAGATGATTCTTCCCAACACTCTGATTCTGGCATATTACTGAGAGAGAATGCTAGTAATGGTGGTCTCGGCTACACTAGGTCGAGGCCTGTTGATAATGTCATTTATTCTCAATTTATATCAACTATGTGTTCTTTTGCTAAAGATCCTTACCCAAGAATTGCAACTATTGGTCGGAGAGCACTGTCCCTTATAGGTGTTGAACAAATAGTCATGAAAAATACTAGATTTAACAGTGGAGGTGCACATCGGGGAGAGACATCTGCTTCAAACTTTGGAATGGCACGCTCTTCGTCCTGGCTTGATATGAATTCTGGTAAGTTATTATCACTTTCCTTACTATGTGCTTGGACGTTGAAACACCTTGCTTGATTTGGTGTTCAGAGGAAGTCAAGAATTTTTGAATTGAGTTTCCTATATTTTGCAGGAAGCAACTTGATAAAATTTAGGACCCCTCCTGTTAGCCCCCCTCAGCATGATTATCTTCCAGGATTACGCCGAGTGTGTTCTATGGAGTTTGGACAACATCCTATAAATTCACCTGATGGCTTAGCTGATCCCCTTTTAAGCTCTGCTGCAGCTCCCAGTAATGCTGAACTATGTATACTTCCCCAATCAACAATTTATAACTGGAGTTGTGGTCACTTCTCTAGGCCTCTTTTAACTGGCTCTGATGATAATGAAGAAGCAAATGCCAGAAGGGAAGAGAGAGAACGAGTTGCACTAGATTATATTGCTAAGTGCCAGCGCTCCTGTATGTGGACATACATTAGTCTGCATTACATTCATTCTTCTTGTTGGTTTCCTTGATTATTTATCTGTTATTTTTTTTGGTTGTTCACCCTTGGAATAGCAGCTTGCAAGATGACAAGCCAAATTGCTAGTTGGGATACGAGATTTGAGTTGGGAACAAAAGCAGCTTTATTGTTGCCATTTTCTCCAATCGTTGTTGCAGCTGATGAAAATGAGCAAATAAGGTGAAATAATTATTGCAATTAAAAATCCTAGTACCTGAAATACACTGCTGCAATTGTGCTGAAGTTCTGTCTCATGCCAGAGTGTGGAACTACGACGATGCGCTGCCAGTGAACTCTTATCAAAACCATAATTTGTCAGACAGAGGGCTATCCAAACTTTTGTTGATCAATGAGCTTGATGAGAGCTTGCTTTTAGCTGCCTCAAGTACGCCTCTCTTCTCTATGTTTTTCTTTCTACACTTATCTTCTACCATTGCATTGTCTAATTTTCATGTTGCAGGTGATGGAAATGTACGTGTATGGAAAAATTTTGCTCAAAAGGGAGGACAGAAACTTGTAACGGCTTTCTCATCAGTTCAGGGACATCGAGCTGCTGGTCGCAGTATTGTGATTGACTGGCAGCAGCAATCTGGTTATCTTGTAATGTTCTATTTTCCCCCCTGTAGTTCTAGTATGTATTTTTTACACATTGCATGTTCTAATACAGGACTTGCTCTCCTTTGTTGTCCAATAGTATGCATCTGGTGACATGTCTTCCATCTTGGTATGGGATCTTGACAAGGAACAACTTCTCAGCACTATTCAGTCATCTGGTGATAGTGCCATTTCTTCACTGGTGAGTTTTTATTGCCATGCGCTGATCAGAGAAATTGGAACATTTGTTCAAGCAACTTCTTATTTGTTATTTGACTAGGCTATATGTTGCACTTTATCACTGAGGAAATAACCAGTTAACCATAGATTTGTTATTCTGTGTTTTGTGTTATGTGGTTCATGCTGTATACTTGATGTTCCCATCGTATATTAATCAATAACTTAGAACATCAATCTGTAACTGTATTTCACTGCTAGTCATTGGATACCATGGATTCCAGGGGGTTTGTATTTGATAGTCAAATTGTGACAAATAATAATACACATGGTTGAATTAGGTACATCTGCATGCTGAGTTGTTAATAGAGGTAAAATGGAGTCACAATATTCCTTCATGAAGGTTGATGGTGCACATGCGTCCTCCTAGAATTCTAGTAATTGTGTGCACTTCAAAGTTTTTATAAGTGAACGTGGCTTTTGGTGCTGCTTTCTGTAGGAAAAGTTGTGAACTTGTCTCAAGTAGGTTGAACAATGTGAGCAAGAGCCAAGAGTTGAATTTGCCAAGGGATTCGCTCATGTTCAGTGGCAGACCCAGAATTGGGTCACGACTAGGGCCCAATTTTAGGAGTGAAGGGGCACATCTACACCATAGTTTATATATATGTCATGTAAAATAGCTACTGTGAAGGAAAATTTTCAAATTGAGAAGTTGCTTCAACTTTGAAAATAACATGGAACATACAAAAATAAATACATAGTGAAAATTTTGTGCATTGGCATCTTCCATGTCCTCATCACTGACCTAAATTTTTACAAGATGTAAGAGTTAATAAGAAAAGGGACAAGCAAAAATGTAACCTTACTTATTGATAATGCATTTGTAACTTGAATGTAACATACCACAAGTACTACTACTAGATAGTTTAGGTAACTTCTTCTACGGGTCTTCAATTTTTGAAAATGATATAAGATGTCATTGTTTTTAATGGCTGTAAATATACCCCGCTCAATATATACAACATACCGTGCTATGATTCAACCACTCATCTTCGATTCAACCACTCATCTTCATCTTATTCCGAGAATCAATCTTGACAATCTTCATAGCTTAGAAAACCCTTTCTATTGTGGCAGTTGCAACAATTAAAATCAAGGCAACTCAATGAGGTGATGAACCAATCTGTAATTTTAGAATCTAATTTCAGTTTTCAATTCAATTGAATATGTACGATGACATTTATACAACTCTACATAGAGTTGGAAACTTGGATTAAAATTTAGTAGAGAAATACTGGCCAGAGTGGCTGCTCCTGCTGCTCTGCTTGTGTGCTCTTGGGGGCCTATGCGGCCGTGCTGCCTGTGCAGGTGCTGAGGCATGGAGCCGGGCCGCCGGTGCGACGCTGGCCCCCCCTGGAGGCTGCAGTCACGCCATGTCACACCGTGCAGTGGTCAGCCGGTCTCCCTGGCTTGCACGCTAGCGCAGCGGCACCTTGATGGTTGCCCAACTCCAGCTGGCCAACTGAGAAATCGATTTGCTAATTTGGCTCACCAGCGGAGGACTGGTGGAAGGCGAGTGATGGTGCGGCCGTGCGGGGCACTGGCGGGTGATAGCGCAAGCCAGAGGAGCGATCGCTGTGTCCTAGTCGGCCTGGGTGGCTGGATGGTGCTGTCTGTTGGGCTGACTTGTGAAGTATATGGGCCAAAAATAAACAGGGTATACTGGGGTTCCTGGGCCACAAGGGCCACGGCCCTAGGCCCAGGTCCGCCCCTGCTCATGTCATGTCTTAAACTATGTTCTTTTACTAACCAAAAAAATAAATACTGTGCTGCAGTAGTCCAATGTGATGATTTTGTCACAATATCTTCTTGTTCTCCTCTAATGTTCTCAAGGACACATTTTTTTATCTATAGGCGTGAAATTAGCTGTTTGATTACTTTTATGTATGTGATTCTTGCTATTGCAGCAAGTTTTATTTTAATCTGATTTGCATTGTTTTTTATCAAGCAGTTGAGCATGACCTTGTTTCTTCTTTTTCAGTCTGCATCTCAGGTCTGCTCTGGGCATTTTGCTGCTGGTTTTGCTGATGGTTCTGTCAGGATATATGACGTTCGCTCTCCTGATAGGTTAGTACAGTAGTATCTACATCCTCTGGCCTGCATTTGATGCATAGGATCCATATGTGCCCTATGAAATGTCCTGCTTTCCACTTTCTTTTCTGGCACCCTAATTATTTTTACTCTGAATATTCTTTTTCTATACTGTAGGGTTGTCTATATGGCCAGGCCACATGCACCAAGAACAGAAAAGGTTGTAGGCATAGGGTTTCAACCTGGATTTGATCCGTACAAGGTAAATACTACCACAACTTACATTGCTATGTTTTAGATTTTCATTGTTGAAGCAACTAAGGTATTTTGTAGTTGTCTGGGCTTGCTTTTGCTTAAGCTTTACAATTCTCCCTTTGTACTATTTATTTATGGTATCACAGATTGTAAGTGCATCTCAAGCTGGTGACATTCAGTTTCTCGATGTTAGAAGGGCAGCAGAACCCTACCTGACTATTGAGGCACACAGGGGTTCACTTACAGCATTAGCGGTTCATCGGCATGCCCCAGTTGTTGCTAGTGGCTCAGCCAAGCAGATGATTAAAGTGTTTAGTCTTGAAGGAGAGCAGTTGACAAGGATTCGCTACCAGCCATCTTTTATGGGCCAAAGAATAGGCAGTGTAAACTGTCTTTCTTTTCACCCATACAAATCACTCCTAGCTGCTGGCGCTGGTGATAACGGCCTTGTCTCTATCTATGCTGAAAATTACAAGTAAGATGAGGCCTACATCTCATGACAATGCAGCCACAACACAATCGGTAGGCCTTGTGTTTTTGGCCAAGTGATGCTCCCCACAGCATGGTCCAGCTACAAGATCCAAGATGATGTGAAGCCTTGTCACAGAGACGGTGCTATTGCACCATGGCTCTCGGTGCGTATCGCCTGTTGGACGACGTGTGCCATTTGTAAGATACAGCCAAGATTCGTTAGCCTCCTTGCAGAAGGTTTGTGGAACCCCTACCCTGATCCTGTCATTGAACTCGGAGGCTCCCCCAAAATAATTAATCATACCTAGGTTAACCAAAATGTAAATAGACACCGCATTCGGGTTGTCTGTAGCCAGCATTCTTCCTTTTTCAAGTGTAATAAGGTTTGAAGATGCTTGATATGATAAATCAGGTTTGGTAGGGGCTGCTGCCTGGGCAAGTGGGGTTGTGCATATGGGCCCAGGTAGAATGCTTGCACATGTCAGCTCACAGATGATGTTGAATAGAGATAGATGCATTTGTCCAGCTAATATAGCGCTAGATGGGGTTAGTTATGGCCTGCATGAATGAAGGAATGTTGTCAAGTGACTTGCATTGTAACCATTGGAGAGTGTCCATTTGTATATATGAATCTTGTCTGTACAGTTGTAATCCGTGGAAATGGTGTGTTTTATGTCGGTGCATTTTAATAGAGATGAGCTGAGGTGCTGGAAAACTGTAATCCCCTGTGATGGTCCCTGTGCTGTTCAGCCTGATTGATGGAAGAGGACGCGTGAACCTTGAGTGATTGATTCTCTGCCTCATCGGCATTCTGTATAGCAGACGGCAGTGTCGTTGGATTGATGCGCTTGGGATGGTTGTTATAATAGTGTATGTTGTATGGAAGACTTCACTTAGCGTTAAGTGAACACCAGTTTGCAATTATGAAGAAGCAGGGATGGGAGGGAATAGTGGCATTTGAGGCGGTAATGGGATGGCCAGCTTGGTCTTTTGATGGCCTTGCTAATGACCTAGTGTTAAAGGAGATTGGAGTAAAAAGAGGATTCAGAAGAGACATTGGGGATTTCGGTACCAAGCAGCTTCAGCTCTGTTAAGTGTTCTACACTCTGCTTTGGGACCAAGTCACAATATTTTGGCCGCACAATTCTCCCAGGTGTTGCAAAAGGAAAAGCATTTATAACCATCAGAAAGGAGGCACTGACTATTATGCAGCCTGTGCTGGCCATGGAGATGCGTATTTGATATTTGTAGATGTGTTTGTGTTGTAGTCGTTGGGCTAAATGAAGATGAAATGTACCGAGAATCATGTGTTGTCAAGTGCTACAACTTACGAACTCCCAACTCGGTTTGGCATGTTGTATGCTGCTGCCGCCTTAACGAAATTGGATCGCTTGTGATATGCTCCCTTGCCGCAGTGCAAGTTTTTGTTCTGGAACAGCAGCGTCACTGTCACTGACCATTTAGCCTTGTCGCAGCGGCGACCGCGCGCCGCACCACCAATCCCGTGCTGGTGCTGCGACTGCGACCCTCTTCCGCACCACCCACGGCCGCTTCGTCGCCGCCCACGGCACGACCGGCGCCCTCAACGCCCTCCTGGCCGCGCTCTGCTGCTGCTGCTCGTCCCTCTGTTGCATTTCTTTACAGCGCCATTGTCCTCCTCGCCGTAGCTGGCGCATAGGAGAGACCGTCACCGGCGACGGCGAGTGTTTGCTTCCGAGGCAGCCGCGACTGACAGGTGGGGCCACCGTTCAATGGGACCAGCTTGCAATTCGGACAAGACGCGAATTTTTGTTCTATATGAAAGAAAGGATTCCCCAAGAAGCACCGCACAGAAACAGAACCCTCTCTGCTCCTCGCACCCTCACGCTCCAAGGCGAAGGCGGCGGCGGCGCGATGGACGGCGGAGGCGGGGCCTCGCCCGATGCCACCATCTGCATCGCCCCTGGCCCTGGGCCCATCGTCGCGGTCGCCCCCGCCGGGATCAGTAAGTTGCCCCAACCCTTCCTTCCCTTCCCCTCTCGCCAAGCGCATCTCACTCTTGCCGATTCGCGCAATTTCTGAGATGATAAACTGCTAGCACCTCTACCTCGTTGCTAAGTACTCCTACAATTGCTTACCCGTCCTTAGTCCATCCTTAGCAGAGTGTCTGCAAACAGCTCTAAATTTCTCTTCTTATTCACCAACATTGTTTTCTTAGCTGCTGCGTGCTTGATTTGGCACAGGGGTTGAGAACTGCTACGTGTTCAAGAGCCGGCTGCAGGAGTACGCGCAGAAGGCTGGCCTTCCGACCCCGGAGTACCACACCCTCAAGGAAGGCCCGTCCCACGAACCTGTCTTCAAGTCCACGGTGTTGGTGAACAACACCAGGTACGAGTCGCTGCCTGGGTTCTTCAGCCGGAAGGCTGCGGAGCAGTCGGCCGCGGAAGTCGCGCTCATGGAGATTGCCATGTCTGCTCCGGTGACCGAAACCCGAAGCATCCCAGCAGTTGTAAGTTACTACTCTTTTTTTTTTTTTTTTGGCAGATATGGTTGCTAAAGATCAAGTGTGTACAAAATTATCATCCAAAAGGAAAATCTGTTTGTTCTTTGAATTTTTCAAGGTGAATGTAAATGAGTGACGATCTATGAAATCAGAGCCTAAAGGAAAAAAGCAATCTGCCTCATTCATAGTTATGCTGCTGCCTAGAACGTACACATGGTTCTTCAAAATACATAGGTCCAATCATATCTAGTACCTGATGTGCCTTCTTCCCTTCCCTTGTTTTATTTTTACGGATGTGAGAGTAGCTGAAGCCTCCTATATTAACTTGGCATTGCGAACCTTCCATTAAATTTATTGCAAGTATGCTAATGGCACCGTTCTTTTCAAGTAATGTAAATTAGTTTAACTGTGGTTGTCATCGTTCTTTTCAAGTATTGTAAATTAGTTTAACTGTGGTTGTCTAGTGGTACCTGAGTACTGTCACAAGAGTATGTTTTAGGTTTCACGGCATTTCCCCAATAATATTCTTTGGTCCTATTATTTATCTGTAATTGTTAACACCAAGGTCCCCTCTAAATACGGGAATTAGTTATGAAGATGTTCGCAGGCTCATTCCGCGCAGTTTATGAACCATGAACTATGCATAGCTCACAACATGGTGACCAAATTAAGTTAGAGACATGAACCATTCTTTTTTTTTTGAAGGGTACATGAACCACTCATAGCTCAAATTGTGAATTCGGATGACTAAATTAGCATAGCATTGCAGGATCTCTTCTTGATTGGCATGTTTCTTTGATACACCTTGCTATGTTTTGCAGCAAGAAACTGGCCTGTGCAAGAATCTTCTTCAGGAGTATGCTCAGAAGATGAATTACGCCATTCCATCTTACATTTGCACTAAACAAGCTTCAGGTGTAGCTCCTTTCATATGCACTGTTGAGATTGGCGGCATACAATACATTGGTGCTGCAGCTAGAACAAAGAAGGAGGCAGAGATAAAAGCTGCCCGAACTGCTCTTCTTGCAATCCAGGGTAATTTTCTTAGCATTCAATCCAAGGGCATTCGTTGTGCAAACACTATCACTCCTTTTTTGCTCTGGCTTGGATTTTGGGTTATAAATGGACAATGTTTGGTGCAGGGCAATCAGAAGGTTGTGCAAATGGTGGCAAAAAGTACATTGTTGTTCCTGGACAAAGGTCGGTTAAGGAGACAGATAAAAAGCCAACTGAAACCCCCAAACCACTTAAAGTTAAGAAACGTGGTCCCAGAAGGAAATGGAACAAGAGGAAATGTATGGGGATGACTGACCAAATTGTTGATGTTCAAAAGGATGTAGAGGGGCTTGGAATGCTTCTACACTACGACTATGAAGAAGCTAGAAGAATAGAATATGAGTTATCTAGAGATACTGCAATGGTCCAATTTAACAAGGAAGTTATAATGATGCAACCTGGTGAGGGAGGAGATAGGGCAGTACAACCGGAGTCACCCAGAGATCCTGCAAAGGTCCAACACGACAATGAAGCTAGAAGTGTCGAACAGGACGCACTCAGCAACACTGAAGTGGTGAAGGCTAACAATGAAGCTATAACTACTGAGCATGAGTCAGTGAGCGCATATGTAGCATTGCGATCTAATGGGGATTCTACAGATGTGAAGGAGGCACCAAGTAATACCTCAATGATGCAGGGTGAGGAATCGGAAACCACAATGCAAGAAGCACCTCACACTGGTGAGCGGGTTCAACCTAACTAGGAACCTATTTTTCGAGGAAGCAAATCTTTCTGAACAGGAAGACCAAAATGTAGGAAATGCATGCATTGCTGTAGGCAAATAAGTCCACTGTTGTGCCTGTGGAGGAATAGAGGAGAGTATGTGAACCGAGGTAGCTAGTTTATGTTTGTTCATTAGCCGGCTGTATTTGGTCAGGTTTTCCCTGTCATATTGGTGACCGGCGCTTACATGTGCAATGAATTTGAGGTAGCCGATCCAAACCTCCAGTTGTCCAATGGATGGTTGCTTAAATGATGTTATTCATTATTTTAAATTCTCTTATATGTCAAATTATGAATACAAAAACAAACAGAGCAGTATCCTTTTCTGCACTAGCAAGGATTGTGCACCAAATGCCCAAACGGCAGTTAACCTATTTTCAGGAGTAATTGTGTGTGCCAGTTTATCAAAATGCCCGGCAAAAAAAGCATTTCACTATTTACATTCGCTTCGGGGACAAAAGTGCCGTTGCCCGGCTACCCCTGAAGCATTTCAACAACCCCTGGTACCCATCTCTGAATGGCTAGATCTCAACACTGCTGTAACCATGCGCCTTCTGCACTTGATTCTCACTCAGCCATCTTCCTCCTGGTGTCCTCTGCAGACTGCCAGCCTCCATCTTCAGCGTAGACATGCGACACGACAGTGAGACATATGCGGCATCACTGTTCGGTGCCATTCTCAGTTCAGGATCTGTTCTGCTGCAACCTGCAACTGCAATGCAAGCAGACTCGACTTCTTTGTTCCCATGGATCCGACAACTGCCTCCATACCGCACGCCATGGTTGGAACGGCATTGCCTCAACGAGTAGTCATCAGTCCTCTTCGCGCCAGGAGGCCAATAAGGCAAACATAATTGGGCCCTGTTGGGTTCATGCCATGCGCGGACAAGATGGAGCTGAACAGAAGCTTCGCTTCCCCGGTTCTGTTCGAGTGGCAACATGTTCAGAGTCCACCTGACATGTCAATGACACAGGTCCCAGCCTCGCCCCCGGCCAACTGAAGAAGAATGTGCAGGTTCCTTGCTTAGCCCATTGACTCTCTGCTCCAGGATGAGTGGCGCTGATGTTCTATGTCCACTACCCGTCTACCCAGCAAAAGAAGAATGTACTGCTTGACAAAAAGGCAGAAATGAACATACTGTTGCAGTTTTATCTGGCAGCGACACTCTAAATTGTTAATTACCATCACTTTTATTGTGCTAAATGTCAAATGTGGGGGGATTCATCCAAATCAACTCGAGTTCGAATGTGTGTGACAGGCTATCGAATTCTGTGATGCTCGGATGCCCTGTAGCGCCAGGGGACTCTCTTATACTCCTGTACAGGGCTTGCTGTGTGTCAGTGTGTGACATGCTATTTTTTAACAGAATATGTCTGAACAGAAATTCTGTGAGGTGAAATTTTCTTTCCTGCTTTCCTACGCCGGTGGTACCGTGCATTTCTAGGGGTACCTAGTTACGTTGTGCAGATTTTGTATCCAGTTTGCATCTCCGCCTTATTCTTCTTAAGGTAACTACCACTGCTCTCGCTACCGTTCAATTGATTACAGACTGCTGCAGGAAAGGTTACAGGTTCTCATCGATTTATATTTTTGCACACTCATTTCCTTTCTATGCTTCGTCATGTATGATTGCTTGGAACTGTGTTCCGTTATCTGAAAAATGTATGATTGCTTACTTCGATTTATTTCACTCTGATTTTGGGCTTTTTGCATTACTAGCAAACATGCCCGTACGTTGCAACGGGATCCAATACGTAGTGCGTTGTGCACGGGTCATAAGTTTGAGTCAAAAATTAAATTAACTTAGTGGAAAAATCTTTGTTTCTTAAGAAGTCAAAGATTAAAATGGCTTTGATCTCTTATTTTTTGTTTGTTTTTACTCTTATTATATTTATTAGAACATGAAAAAACCAGGTGGAGAAAACAATGAAAACAAAATCAGAAAAGTCGAGCTAGTGTCAAAAACATCCACGAGAAAAAAAAATCTGAGCATACTCGAAACCAAATAGAAAACAGTCATGACAAAAATTAGAATGTACTCTAGGAAATAGCCATGGAAAAAAATCAAAACATATTCGGAGCCAAGTGAAAAACATCCAAATGAACGTAAAGCAACACATACTCGGAGCAAATAAAAACAGACAAACCAGAGAAAAGTGAAAAAAAATGAAAAGAAACGAAACAAAAAAATTCTACCCTTCTTTCCTCTTTATTAGATTTCTATTCTTATATTTTTTCATTTGAATTAAGATTCCTATTCCGGTTACTCGGACTTGGAGAGATCTATTTGGATTAAGATTCCTAGTTGTCTATATTATTATATTTTTCCTATTTAGATTAAGATTCCTGTTCACCCAAAATCGGAGAGATCTAATTGGATTAGAATTCCTAGTTATATAAAGAGAAAGGCTATAGGTGGTTTTCTACATTCACAAATTTAGTTAAGTGATGGCCAGAACATGCTCGTGCGTTGCAACGGGAGAAAAAAAACCTATTAAACATTTATATAAAATGATAATGGAAATGGTATATTTCTACTTATGTTTTACCATTTCTATAATTAAAAGCTATAATTTATTTTATAATGACCATGACATCCATAATATATATAAGTCAATGCCGATAATAATATAATAATATCCTATTAAGTTTGTATGTATTGAATTAAAATACAATCTTAGTAGATTTTTTCTCATCGCAAAACACATAAATGTTTAAGTGTAAGTATATTATAACTTTAATTTTATACTATCCTATGTACGTAAAGGCTGGCCTGGCATGACTTGTGGCTAGTGAAGATGGGCCAGCCTCCAAGTGCGCTCCATCACAAGCAGGACTTGTCCGCCACAACCACTGTAATTAAGCCCGTAACCCGTGTGTTACGCTTTCTGCCAAGGCCAGGGCCCGATGCAAGAGGCATGGCGTGGTGGCGGCACCTCCCTCCTTATGGTCAAGGGGTGGCAAGACGTGTTGATCTTGCGCACTCACCGGTTTCGATCTCCTCTTCGTGCGGTGCTCTGTCGTGACTTCAGCCGAGGTCCATGGGTGAGGCGTGTTTGGCCAGCGCAGGCGACAAATTTATGGCCATGATGAGTGGATCCATAGCGTGGCAGAGCGCACAAATTTTTGGCCATCCACTGAGTCCGTTCTACGTTGCCGCTACCAATGTCTTTAAGCTGATGGCAAGAGCATGGCTCCGTATGTCTACTCGACCTGGAGCTTGCTCTTCTCCAATCTTGTTTCTGATTTTTTGTTTTTGTTTTGAGACATCTTTTATGTAGAGATTTATTTTGTATAACTGTCAAGTTAAGTTTTAACTCATCACATGTTCCTTTTATTTGGCAGATTTCTTCCTTTCCTTTTCTTTGCTTCCTTTTTTCATGGTTAGCTTCAACGTACTACAAATTGACTCCATATTGAACGTCCTTGGGACAAAAAAGCACCTCCGCGTATGGGACTTAAACTCATGGCAAATTGGCAATCGGAAACCTTGTGGGCCTATACATGTTTATACATGATGTGGGCAAATTGGCAATCAGAAACCTTGTGGGCCCATACATGTTTATACATGATGTGGTTGTACACAGGCACATAGCTCATGTGCAGAAGAAAAGAAAAGAAAAGATATGTGCAATAGCAAAATTTGCATAGGACACGAGCGGGAAGATGGCCGACGAAAACGTAAAAAAAAAGATTTTGGCTGAGCGGGTAACAGAGGTGTAATTTATTTTGTTGTTGTTATTATTAGAATCGGAGGCGTGTAAATATATTATGCGTTCAAGAGACTAAATGGAAGGGTTAGAAGGCGAAGGAGGTGGACAATACAGGTTTCAAGCTTTGGTACACAAGGACAGTCGTGAATAGAAATGGAGTAAGAGTTTTGATTGATAAGAGCCTCAAGAATGGTGTGGTGGGAGTGAGAAGGCAAGGAGATAGGATTATCTTAGTCAAGCTTGTCGTTGGTGATATGGTCTTGAACGTAATTAGTGCGTATGCTCCTCAAGTAGGCCTCGATGAGAGTGCTAAGAGACAGTTCTGGGAAGACTTAGATGACCTGATTAGAGCTGTACCTAGTAGTGAGAAGCTTTTTATAGGAGAAGATCTTAATGGACATGTAGGTACTACAAGCGCATGTTTCGAGACAGTTCATGGAGGTTTTGGATATGGTAGTAGGAATCAGGAAGGGGAGGAAGTTCCGGACTTCGCGGTAGCTTTTGACCTGATGATAGTTAACACTTTCTTTAGAAATAGAGAATCTCATCTAGTGACCTTCAGTAGCGGACAACACTCTAGCCATGTTGACTTTGTCCTCGCAAGAAGAAAGGACAAACGAGCATGCTTGGGTTGCAAGGTGATACCAGGGGAGTGTGTTGTTTCTCAATGTAAGCTTTTGGTGGTAGACTTTTGTTTTCAGGTGCGTGCCCATAGGGATAAACAAGCTAAGATTGAAAGAACAAAGTGGTGAAAACTGAAAGGAAAGATGATGTAGACAAGGCCTGGTCTTCCGATAGGTACGTTAGCGTCGATTGGTGGAGACTCGACGTTCACGATCTAGGCTTTGAACCAAGACAGATTTGGACCCTTACAACCATTACACCACTGCTCCGTTGGATATCAACCACGCGAACACGATTGACCTCGCCGAGAAGGCTTTCCTGCAAGCGAATCGAGAACACAAGCAAGAACGGGATGAAAATAATCCAAAATTATAAATAAATATGAGGCTTATGATAATGAGAATGAGTTCAAGTCTTTATTCGAAAGGACTAATCGCCACAGGCGAACAAAATCAAGAACAGAGGCCCTGGTTCACAGCAAGCGGCCTTGGCGGCATAGTTGCAGCAAAACAATGTCTGTTTCACATGGAAATCAAGAACTAAACAAAACCCTAAACCCTAACGAGAGTGATGACGGTATAATATAGAGTCTTGGGCGTCACACCCCCTGGACGCGCCCCTAATGGGCCCAAACACGATACA